TAATAATAATAATAATAATAATAATAATTATTATTATTATTATTATTATTATTACATATTTTAATTTTCAAAGTGACTCATTATCACCTTTACTCTTTCCCAGAATGCTGGTTGGGAAATTCTGGTGGTTGAAGTTCACACCTGTTTAAATTGCTAAAGTTGAGAAACACTGCTTTATACTATGAGTGGCACCACTACCAACAATTCTGAACAAGACCAACCTTGCATTAAATTGGCATAAAACAAATAAAAAGTTTGCATTTACTTTATATGAATTAAAGTTACTTCAAAAATAAAGGCTGTACTAGATTCCTTATTAACAAGCACAAAATAATTCAGTAAAGATATTTGAATGAAATTTTGCATTGACATGTGTAACCATAATAATAAGGGTAGGCAGAAGTGTTTAATGTGATATAATACAGCTTAATAATGAAGATTTCATAAGGCAATAGCACCAGTAGAAGACTAGAAATAATTGGGAGTTTGTAAGCTTCCATTTCATTCCAGAATCAAGTCAAAACATTTCTACCAAATACAAATGAATTCAGAATTTTTTAAAACCAATGCTAAATGGTGGAAACATTAAAGTAGTTAATATCTGCGCACTCCCTATTGTTCAATATGTAGCAGCAATAGTTGACTAGACCCATATGGAATTTGAAATTTTGGATTGGAAGATAAGAAAACTAATGACAGTGGATCCAAAAATGATTTCCACCCAAAAAGTGATATTGTATTTGCTATGGGCAGAAGACTATTACAGGTGAAACAAACTCTGAAGGGAAAAAAAAAATCGCCTGAATAACTACATTAAGAAAAGAACCTTGATCAATAAATCAGTCATGAAAAGCTCTTGAAAACAACAAAAGTGAAGGCTGAATGTAGACAAGAAATAATTGAAAACCAATTTGTTAATTGGAAGAACAAGCCAATGTATGATCAGTACTTGAAGAATATAGAAAAGAAATATAAAAATCCCACATGGAGTAAATTAAGATCAGAAGTGTTAAAGAAACTGAGGCTTTATTTTAGCAGCTCAAGTATATTTGCTGCATTGAGTTATTTTAGAAATAATAGAAAGGATAAATACAATTTTGGGCAACTAATTGTATGAAGATAAAAATTTGTCATGGAACAAACCACAGCAAATGTTGCCTTTGTAGTGAAAAAGGTGAAACAATTGACCGTTTGGTCAGTTGGTGCAGCAAAATTTCACAAACTGACTACAAACAGCATCATGACTGAGTTTCCAGAATTATTCATTGTAAACGGCTAAAGGTTTGGATTGAATGTAGTAAAAACTGCTGGGACCATGAAATTGAGAAAAGTTTTGGAAAATGAATGCATTAAGATCTTATGGGACTTTAAGATCCAAACAAGCAGGTGTTTTATTCATAACATGCCTGACATAACAGTTATTGAAAAGAAGAAAATATTTTTCATTGATATTGTTATACTGGGTGAGGCTAGAATTGGAAAAAAATTGAAAAAAATTACAAAATATTGGGACTTGGAAATCGAAGTTGATTACTAATGGAAAAAGAAACTCATTGTTATACCAATTGTAATTGAAGCGTGTCGAGCATTTCTTTAAAAACTCCCTCGATATCTGGAAATATTGAATTGATCCAACCTGAACACCCTATAAAAACACACTGTTAGAAACTGCCTATATTTTTAGATGCTAGCTTAATAATATTTAGATCTTTTGTTAGAACTTGAATTATTAAATTTCCAGCAATCTTATATGCACTTAGATTAACTGTAAATTTGACAATTATGCACTCAAGCTAGTATATCATGAAGGCTTGTTGAATACTGGAACCTACAAGAAAAACCAAATAAAGAATAGAAAAGAAACATGTCAAAGCAAAGTATTACAAGACCAGCAGATTAAAAAAAAAAGCAGGGAAAACAGTATAGTATAGGACCTTCTAATGGCTAAGACTAAGAAAGTTGAAGAAAGAGAGACAAGGTCTAATTTTGGCTACATAAGACCAAGCATTAAGAACAAATGCATAAAAAACCCGAATTGAGAGGACAGCAACAGACAGCAAATGCTATCTGCAAAGAAGCTGAAGAAACAGTGAATTACCTAGTTATCTGCTACAAGAATGACTACAAACAATATGACAAAGTAGCAACATTAATGCAAGAAATTTCATTTACTTGTGAGCAAGAACTGGTGGAAATAGGCAAAGTAGAAATAAACAAAGTAATAGAAAATGAAAACTGGGATTTCAGATTCAAATAAACAAGCACCTGCCACATAACTCCCCTGATGTAACAATTGTTGATGAGAAAAACAAAAAGTCTGGACAGTACCTGGAGTCAGCAGAACAGAAGAGAAACAAATGGAGAGAATCATAAAATACACAGATTTGGCAAATACAAGTCAAATGACCGTAGCAAAAGAAAACAAAAATAGTAGCAATAATAATAGCCCTGGGTGCAATCCCAAAACATCAGGAGCATCACTTGAACACCATCGACATTAACAAAATCTCCATCAGTCAATTGCAAATGGCCACCTTATTTGGAGCAGCTTACATCCTGTAACATCTGACTGCGACCAACCCATAATATGTATTTACTTGATATAACAGTATGATTGCTAATTAAAGAAAGAAAGAATTTTAAATAACACTGAAAATTACAAGGTTTATTTTAGTTGAGAAATCTACTGTGAAAAATATCCAATTGACCTCAATGTAGTTGCAGATAAATTGGTACTACAATTCCCAATTCTTTAATTTGATTTGAATGGAAAAGATTGCCTTTGAGTTAATGTTGTCCCCTGGAAACTGCCTTGACAAGCCCCTGCAATGTTCTTGGTAAGATTTGCCATCCTAGGGCTGAGAGAGAGTGATCCAGCTGGCTTTATGTCTAAGGCAAAAGTAGATCTCCCAGTTTCTAGCCTGTTACTTTAACCCATTGCTTCCTAATTTTTTTCCTTCATTACAGATAGTCCTCAACTTATAACCACAATTGACACCAGAACTTCCATCGCTAAGTGATGTGGTTATTAAATGAGTTGTACCTGATTTTACCATTTTTTTTGTTTCATTCGTTAAGCAAATGATCACAGTCATTAAGCAAATCCAGACTCCTACATTGACTTTGGTTGTCAGAAGCCCCCTGGGAAGGTTGCAAATGTGTTTATTTACTTTGTTTTATTTATTATATTTCTTTGCCTCCCATCTTGCTGCAAGGCAGCTTTGTGTGGCTTACAACATCAACACCCCACCCCCCCGGTGTATGTGTATATATAAAAAATTGCAATAAAATACAGATTATAACTAAAACATGGGGAGGAAGGGAACACAATGTACGGGGGAGAGTGGGAGCTGATATTAGTCAATTACACCTCCAGTAGGATACTCTCCCATTGGGAGTTCCAAGCCAGGTCTTCAGGCTCTTGTGCAAGGTCAGGAAAGTGGGAACCAATCTCTCTTCAGAGGGCAAGATGTTTCAAAGCGCTCTGACAGAGAAGGCTCTTTCTCCTGGACCCTGCTAACCAGAATTCCTTGACTGGTGGGATCTGCAGCATGCCTCCTGCACCAGCATGGGTGGGGTAGGCCTGTCCCATAGAATGGTTTCTCAAGTAATCTGGATCCATGCCATACAGGACTTTATAGGTAATGAGCAACACCTTGAATTGTACCCAGAAGCAAACCTCAGATTTTGCAGCTCGTGGGACAGTAGTGTAAAATGGACTACCTTGGGGGCCCCTAAGACTGCCCACACAACCTCACTTTGCATCCACATGCTCTTCAGGAGTAGTCCCCTGTAGAGTGCATTGCAGTAGTCCAAGTGTGAGATGACCGGGGTTTGAATGACTTGAGCACAGGGATTCCTGAACCAGCCCACAACTGGCTCATAACCCAAAGTTCTGCAAAGATTCGTCTAGCTGCAAATGTCACCTGATCTTTGAGGCTAATTTCAGGCAGCTGGTAATCAGCAGAAGTAGCCTGCAGTACTGCATTCTAATCACTGCGCCACCACAGTGACCAGATGAGCTTGGGAAACTGCAGTTGTCATAAATACATGCCATTTGCAAAGAACCTAATTTTTGGTCATGTGACTGCAGGGATGCTGCAGTGATCATAAGTGTGAGGACTCGTTATGATGTTTTACAATGCTAACATGACTTTGAGCAGTCGTTAGATAAATGGCCGAAAGTGGAAGATTACCTGTACCCAAATCTGCTTATCAGAAAGTCCTTTTTGCCCAATGTAGATAAACACTTTAAGTCAACTTAAAAGTTTCTGTTGTGATTGGGTAATTGGTTGTGTATCATTACCCAATTCCACCACCATCTCCAATCCACATATTTTTGGGTAACTGAAAGGTTTAACCATTATAGCTAACTGATTGAATCTGTTCAAACAAAGTAATTACATATTAAAGAGTAAAAATAATTATGCTTAATTAAGTAAAGAACCAAAGCAATGTATTGAGAAAAATAACATTTTCCCTGTCATCTTTACAGCATTTATCCAGTAGGCACAGTGTGCAACAAAGCATATCACAGGTAAGTTGAGTTATAAAAGCATCATCATTTTCTAAATATCACATGAATACATTTAATGGTATTAGAAGGTTTTGCTTGACAGTGCTAGTATACAAATACTAATTTATTTTCTTTTGCAGCAACCTTCTTGATCTTTGTTTAGAACTGCTTGCATTAGTTTGAAAATTGTATAGTGAGACAATTAGAATGTGATACTGATACTGTACACATATCTGTCTCCATGAAATGTTTGGGTTGTGTATATTTTCCCTTGCTGTTAACATTCCAGACTACATAGAATATATTTAGCACAATACAGCCGAATTTCAAGATATGAAAAAGGTATGAAACATTAGTGGCAGCCTCTTTGTTGCTGCTGAAATAACTTCAAAAGAAAGACTGTGTTAGTAATGACTTCAATGAGCTTTCTCAATTTTTTAATCATATCCTACCTTCCCACTTGTGTAAAGGTAAAAGTTCCCCCCCACATGTGTGCTAGTCATTTCCGGCTCTAGGAGCGGTGCTCATCTCTGTTTCTAAGCTGAAGAGCCAGTGCTGTCCAAAGACGTCTCTGTGGTCATGTGGCCGACATGACTAAATGCGAAAGGCGCACGGAGCGCTGTTACCTTCCCACCCTATTTTTCTACTTGTATTTTTTAGATGCTTTTGAATGGCTAGGTTGGCAAAAGCTGGGACAAGTAACGAGCTCACCCCATTAGGCAGTGCTAGGGATTCAAACTGCTGAACTGCGGACCTTCTGATCAGCAAGCTCAGCATCTTAGCCATTGAGCCACCACATCCCTTTCCCACTTTTGTACCAGTATTTAAATCTGATAACTGTCTACTTAATCGGAGATAAGATAACATCACTGTTATGATCAAGAATGGAGCCTATAAGTCTTTGATCAATGAGATGAAAAAAAAGTTTGAAGGACGGAAAAATAGTACCCATTGTCTCTGTCTGGTCATAATACTTTCTAGATGTCAGCTGGATAGATATAAACATTTCATCATTATGTATAGGTTACTTGCAACTATATATAGCTAAATATCAGAAATAAAGCTTTCCTGACTTTTCAGTTCTTCTATAACCGATCATTGCTCTTTATGTTTAAAGAACGTATCTATTCACATCAACATGGGTACTACCTCATTTTCTTTTCAACTTATTCCCCAGTTCAGAAATGGTTAAGATAGTGCTGGGCTGTAAATATCGACCAAAGAAAATTGCTTTATTCAGCAGTTTGCTCATGTTTACAGAATCTTACATGAAGTGGTGAAATTTAATGTAGAGCAAATACTGAATGTTATGTAATGTACTTTGATAATAAATACTGTAATGTAGTTTTATTTCATTTTTTTTCAAATTAGGTGGATACGATGAGGCCACGCCATGGAGAAGCATGCCGCCTGCCAGTACCTCACCATTTCTTTCTCAGTTTAAAGAGTTTCACATACAATACAATTGGAGAGGATGCAGATGTGTTCTTTTTTTTATATGATGTTCGAGAAGGGAAGCAGATCAGGTAAATCAAGATGTTTACTTTTTCAGAATATATACATTAGCAATAGCCCTTAGACTTATATACTGTTTCATAGTGCTTTACAGCCCCTTCTAAAGGGCTGACAGAGTCAGCATATTGCCCCCAACGATCTGGGTCCTCATTTTATCAACCTCAGAAGGATGAAAGGCTGAGTCAACTTGAGCCCATCAGGATTGAACTGCTGGCAGTCTGCAGAATTAGCCTGCAATACTGCATTCTAACCACTGTGCCACCACGGTTCAGTATTGATACTTTCATTTAAAATCCCCATTTATGTAATATTTATATATTTATTAATATAGTATGTGAGATACCAGTATAATTTTGAAATATTTCAGTATGAAATATGATGTCATGAGTAATACTTTTACTGAAGTAGAAAAGTGAAAAGTAAACAAAATAAACAGTTTCTGTTTCAAATATAATAAAAAACAGACCTAAAACTATAGCTAGATTGGGTGTTGGTTACTTACCTGATACGTCCTTTCTCGGGACGGTGGAGACATCATCCAGGCATGGGTTTGACTCTGTCGGGATCCAATCGGACTGGGTCTACAAGCTTTAAAGACACACCCACGAGGCTCTTCCTCCCAGCTTAGATGAAGGTGTAACTTGTAGAATGCTGTGTAAACAATCTCAGACAATAGATATTATCTCTCCTCAAGGCAGGAATAGACAAAAAAAGGACAAAGGCATAAATAAAGGGTGGGGCTGGATGATGTCTCCACCGTCCCGAGAAAGGGTGTATCAGGTAAGTAACCAACGCCCATTCTCCTAGTAGGTGAAGACATCATCCAGGCATGGGAGATATCAAAGCCCAATCTGTCGCATCGGGAGGGTCCTGAATAGAAGTTAATAATCTTAAGTAGAAACCATTCTCTGCAACATGCGCCGGCCGAACAAAGCATCAGCTGAGGCATATCTGTCGAGCCTGTAATGGCGGATGAACAGAGAGATAGTAGTCCACATGGCTGCCTGGCAAATTTCCTCTAATGAAGCTTGAGATGACCAGGCAGCTGAGGTGGCTGCGCTGCAGGTGGAGTGCGCAGTGATATGAGGTGGAACAGGCAGAGAAAGTGCGGAGTAGGCTCTAGAAATAGCAGCTCGTACACAATGACCAATGTCAGAAGAAGAGGCCTTGGAGCCCTTCTTACCTCCCGGCTGGAACTTTACAAAAAGAGCCTCAGAGCGTCTGAAATTGGTAGTTCGTTTAATATAAACGTATAGGGCACGTCGCATATCAAGATAATGCCACTTACGTTCCAATCGATGAGATTGGTGAGGACAAAAGTCGGGAATCACTAGTTCCTGGGCTCTGTAGAATACAGAATTTACCTTAGGTACAAAAGCTGGATCAAGGCAGAGAACAACCTTATTTTGGATGAAAGATGCATAAATCTTGTCTGATTGACAATGCCGCCAACTCGGAAATATGCCTTGCCGAGGTTATGGCTACAAGAAAAACCACTTTTAAGGTTAAGTCATATAAGGATACAGAATGTAAAGGCTCAAAGGGAGTCTGAGTTAAAGAGTCCAGGACTTTGGAGACATCCCAAGTCGGGAACGTATGTATTGTCAGTGGTTTGATGTTTGTGGCACCTCTCAAAAAGTGACGGATAAGTGGGTTATGGGAAAGGGACTGAGTGGAACCGAGCGACAAGACGGAGGGCAGGGCCACAACCTGGCAATGGAGAGTGTTTGGCGAGAGTCCTATATCTAGTCCTTGTTGCAGGAACTGGAGAATGTTAGGGATAGAGGCCTGTAAAGGAACAATGTCTTTTCTATGGCACCAGAAAGAGAACTCTGTCCAAGTAGCATCATAAATGTGGTTAGTAGAAGAGCGCCTGGAGGCTTGAATTGTGTGAGTAACTTCAGTGGATAGATTGGCAGTCCTTAGAGCCTCCCGCTCAATCTCCAGGCGGTTAGTCGTAACCAAGGAAGGTCGGGATGTTGGAACAACCCCTGAAGGAGCAGAGAGGAAAACTGGGGAAGTTGCCATGGAGGAGCTACTGAAAGGTTCAGCAGATCGGCAAACCAAGATCTGCGGGGCCAGTGAGGAGCGATCAGGATCAGTTCTGCCTCCATCAGCATTTTCTGTATTACCCGCTGTATTAGAGGGGCCAGGGGAAACACATACAGAAGGCCTGGAGGCCACTTACACCTCAGAGCATCGACACCCTCTGCCCCTGGAGTCACATAGTGCAAAAAATACCTTGGCAGTTTATTGTTGTCCTGGGAAGCATAGAGGTTGAGAACCAGAAGGCCGTACCTGACCGTCAGTTGTTGAAAGGTTTGCTGATGCAGGCTCCACTCTGCTGGGTCGATGTGCATGCGGCTGATATCGTCTGCCTAAGTGTTCTGGACCCCTGAGATGTGCTAGGCCTGGATAGATAATAGATAGGTCTCTGCCCAGGACCCCATTTGGAAAGACAAGGTCATTAGACGTTGGGATCTCGTCCACCCGGTTTATGTGCACTTTGGCGGCGGTATTGTCCGTAAGGACAAGCACGTGCGCATTGGTCACCAGGTGTTTGAATTGAAGAAGAGCCAGAAAAACAGCTTTTAGCTCCAACCAGTTGATACTGTTTTTCTGGTCGGAGCGTGACCAAAGATCCTGGGCTGTGTGCAACAGAATGTGAGTTCCCCAGCCTTGCAGACTCGCATCCGTAGTTAGAGTGATGCGTGAGTGGTCGCGAAACAGAGAGCTCTGTTCCAAGGCAGGGGAGAGCCACCAGCGAAGGGACCGGCTTACCTCTGAGGTGAGACGAACCTTGTGCGTCGAGCAACTGCAGTCGGCCTTCTGATATGGTAGCAGAAACCACTGGAGCTGGCGATTGTGGAATCGGGCCCATGGAACGATGTTGAAGGTGGATACCATTTTCCCCAGAAGTTGTGACAGGTAGATGAAAGGAATCTTTGGATGGCCTCTGGTGGATGAGACTAGATCGTGAATGCTCACCTGCCGTTCTGGCGATAAGAAGACCTGTTCCAGGGAGGTGTCTATCACTGCCCCTAGGTGTGTGAGACGAGTCATGGGCTGCAGATGGCTTTTTTTCAAGTTGACCAGGAAGCTGTGTTATTCTAGAGTCCAAAGAGTGATGTGGACGTCTCTGTTTGCTTGGTGCAAGGACCTGGACAGTAACAAAATATCATCAAGGTAACAGAGAATTCTGACTGGCATAGTTCTAAGATGGGCAGACAGCATAGCAAGGATTTTAGTGAAGATCCTCGGGGCAGAGGACAAGCCAAATGGAAGAACCTGGTATTGAAAATGATTCCCTGCATAGAAGAAATGGAGGAATTTCCTGTGATCTGGAAGTATAGGAATATGGAGGAATGCCTCTGTTAGGTCCACCGAGGAGAGGAGGCCATTAGGCTGAATGCTCTCCAAGATGGATTGCAGAGAATGGATTTTAAACCTCCTGTAAACTATAAATTTGTTTAGTAATGTGAGGTCGAGAATTGCTCACCAACCCCCCGAAGACTTAGGCATTATAAAGAGACAGGAATAAAACCCCTGTCCACATTGGTCAGGGCACACCTCCTCGATGGCCTGAATTTGGAGGAGATGCCTAATTGCAAGTTCGACCAGATTTCTTTTGGTAATATCTCTAGAAACCGGACATAGTACGAAAGTCTGCGGGGGACTGAAAAGAAACTCCAGAGCTAGGCTGAATCGAATGGTACGTCTGATCCAGGTATCGGTGGTGATGTCGTCCCAACTATTGACGAAGGCTGAAAGTTGGCCCCCAATTGGAAGGTCCCCGATGAAATTACTTCTGTTTTCGGATGGAATGGTTTGAGCCGCCCTTGAAGGGAGTCCTGTAGGAGAACTGCTGGGAGTTTCTGTTGGATCTGTCCTGAGATGAGGGAGCCTGGCGCTGAGGATGGGAGTGGCAAATCCCCCGTCCGTCCCTTGAAAGGACGACCTACAGAAAAAAGAAGAGGGTGGGGCTTCGGGGGGAGGAGCTGCCGCCGTCAGGAGCTTAACGAAGCTCCTCTCAGGGATCTGGTTCGTATATCTTATAAGATCTATAGATATCTTCCCTTTCTGGCAGAAAGGGGCAGGGAGAAGGTCAGTCGTTAGGATCTCTTTGT